TACGTATAATAAGTAGTGCTTAGAGTAACAACAGTTACGATATATTTGATATTATAAAAAGATTTATATACTACAATAGAGTTGTCATCTTTATTGACATAAGAGTTCTAAACCCGTTCAAAAAAAGTCTTTCATTCTTGTCAATTTTTACTTTTTGTCTCCAGTAGTTGAGATTTATTTATTGTAGGTTATTAATGCACTATTTATTTAATTTGTTTATTATCGTCCTCTCTCTTGTTTTCCAGTATACCGTCATACATAATGAATTCGCTAAACAATTGGCCAATAAAAGTTCCACTGGGATACCCACAGTTCCAGTTCCAGTTCTCAGCGGTAACTCTATAGAGTTCCTTCCTTAAGTCAATGCCTTTGTGGACTCTGTTCTCAAAGAATAATAGTTTGAAATGAAATCTTACATGGTACCAAAATCTGACGAAATTTCATAAGCAATCAAAAAAAAAGAACTTTAAAATACATGACCATTATCAAGACAATTGAAAATAGGCTAAACTCGAAATTTCAAAGCAACAAAATAGTTTGTGAAAGACCCTGTTGACACTACTCTTGCAATTAAGTGGAGACAACCCCTTAGCACAGATCAGAGTAAACACGGATCAAGGCAACAAAATAGTTTGTGAAAGACCCTGTTGACATCAATCTTGCAATTAAGTGAAAAGAACCTCTTAGCATAGATCAGAGTCAACACTACGGATCATAGCACAAGTGAACACCTCATGGCTAAGTTGGGTATCATCACAGATTTAAGATACCAGTCATGTCATGAAATGTATACAATACAGAGCACTATGTCTCTAGTATTTGCAAGAACAAAATTAATATTTTTGATATATTGAATTGATATCTCGTTTAGAAGGCTTCAACTCATCTTCAGGATTGTAAGATCTGCATAATTCACATGTCAGAATACATAATCATTGCAGCTTTGGGACAATACTGCACAATAACTCATTAGCGATGCAATTAGCATTTTTACTGCAGTTTTTTAACTTTTGCTGAAACCTAAAAGATCTTTCATTCTCTTTCTGTATTTTCTAGCTCATAAATACGTAAATCGTTAACTAGTTAATTTGCTTCAGTATCAGTTAATTTGCTTCAGTATATATATATTCAGTAAAGAGTGACTTTTGCTGCTAAATAGTGATACATAACAGATCATCTTAATCTCCATAGTTACCAATTAACTGCGATATACTTGAATAAAACTATGCTAAATGATACTTATAATTCCAAGAGCAACTATTCGTTATCGACAATTAAGCAGCTCTTATTACTTTTATCAGAGTATCACCAATCGCTAGGAAAACGAACTAAAGAATTTCTCTTAGAATGAGACATACAATATATTTATACTTATGAAATCCTTTTCTTTGACCCGCTAATAAACGTTTCCCGCATTGGGTATTTTTAAGGAAGTTGAAATATATATCAGTCATGTAAAAACAGTTCGCAACAAAATAAGAGTTGACTTTTGATAAGAAAAGAAATAAAATAATCCATTAAAATTTTAAGTGAGATGTCACTTCTCTGATTTAAAGAACTAGAACTTTTTCAATATAAACTATTTTAGCTAAACGAATAGATAACAGTTGACGTAAAGTAGATTTCTGGAACGTTTAAGAAAATTTCTACAGAAGTGGGATCAAATAGAAGGATTAAACTGTGTATTAGAACTGTTTAGTACAAGTCGGAAAGGTTATACTGAAAATAATGTCATTTTTGTAACTAAAGATACTTTTTTGTTTATTTTTTCTCTGCGGGCATGTACAATCTAATACAAATTTGTACAAGCTACATCAATTTTAATTGGCACTATAATTTTTTTCTAACTAAAACGAAACAAACTATGTGTTTTACAAAATCTCTATTCTATAATTATCATTTAATAATTGTGTCAGCTATTAAAATTAATCACGAATGCATAATCACACGTTTACACGATTAAATTTAATTAAAATAACATTTAAATGTCAAATGTCACATTTAGTGTATTCTCTCTACTCCTCATCATAAATGCAGTTTAAATAAAAATGGTAAATAAAAATAAAAAATTAAAAAGAAAATGTTAATAAAATGTTTTTTACATGAAATACTAATGAGAATCAATTTTTCATTCTCATTTTCATTTTATTGCCTCAAAGTTAAACTTTCACTTAATTAAGCATGCTTACCTATTTAATTAACCTAGCATAATTTGTAACGCTCCGAGCTATAAATAAAAAAGCAGTGTTAAAAACATATAATAATGCCAATTTAGAAAAAGTGTCCCAGTAACAAAAGTGTCCTTATTAAAAACCGTGGTGGGGCAACAATTTCAGAAAACAAAAGCTCAACCAAGTAACAACGTTGTCATTATTAGTAAACGCCTGTTAACGCAAATACACAACCACAACTACAAGCACAAATACAAACACGTTCAGGTGAAAGCACGTACACACACAGGCAAATAGAGAAATTAAGAAAGGCAAGCACAAGGACACAAGGACACCTAAAGAATTAAGGTTGCAGGGTAATTAAAACGCGTTGTCACCTTTCTCAGCATTAAAGCAACAAATGTCAACCAGGCAACCAAGCAACCAAGCAACCAAGTAAAAACCCCAAAAAATTAAAAAGTTTAAACAAATAATATAAAAACTTATTGGTGGTAGGAGAAAGTCGGAAGAAAGTCGGGAGAAAAGAATTAACTTTTTGTTAGGCTATGTGAAGTTAATTTTCTTTACTTTTCTTCTTTTTTTTTCTTTGAAAATGGAAAGAAAGTTAAGAAAAAGTTTTTAGATTTGGTAGCGTTTGCCAAAAATAAATCACACAACCACAACAACGGGAGATCCCACAAGAGCAACAGAGTACCGAAAATAAGAAGCAACAATGACAGCCAACAAAAGCAGCACCGAAAAAATCCTTATGCATTTTAAGTAACCTCAGCCGTGGTAGTGCTTAAGGACTCTTGATAGATAAAATTGTTGCTTTTATGCTTGAATAAATAAATTTTGATGACACTCTAATTCGTGGAACGCATTTTAGATGTGACAAAAAAAAACTGTGTGGAAATTCTTATTAGAAGAAAATTGGGTCTTTGAATTTAAAATGTAATGATGAACCGAAGCTTTTATATTAAAGAGAGAGAGAGGTTAATAAGAAAAGTCCTTAGTAGTCATTAGTTTGCTACTTTTTGCCAACACTAGTAATGCTGGTGTGTATCTAGGGTTTAAATTTTGCGCTCTTGATAGTTTAATTTTTGCCGTGTTGACCCTAATTGAATTCCTCTGCAGTCGGGTATAGTAAACTCTTATATTTAAGATAATGAATAACATATATTTATATTATAGATTTGAAATTTACTCTCTTAATAGTTTCATTTTCACAAAGTTGACTTCATGTAACCCTAATTGAATTTCTTAGCAGTCAAATATACTAAACTTCTATATTTTAGAGAATATGTAAGATATACTCTTGTGTGGGGCTTACTTTTTGCTCTCGTGTTCGTTTATAACCTTTGCTGGGTTTAATTAACGTAACCTTAATGTACGAAAGTTCTGTATTTCATAAAATGTTTAAGACGTACTCGTATTTATATAGCCAGTTCAATATTACCTTATAGCATTTATAGATACTTAAACTAATTAATTGAATTAGTTCAATTTATGTTGAAGTTTCCCATTGGTAACTTTCTTACTTATTGACCCTGACTTAAAGGTTCAAACAAACTGATTACTATATATCTGTATAAGATAGGCACGATGTCTATTATTGAAAGCAGAATATTCTTCAAAGACAATTGCATTTAAAAGAGTATAAAATTCAAATAATTCAGGAACTTAAATTAATCTAACATATAACATTATATACCATATTCTTTATAAAGATTCCCATTTTAAGGAATATAAAAATCATTAGACCCTAGAACAAGTATAAAATTTGTTTGACTCAAGCCCTTAGATTTTTTTGCGGCACTACATATTGTATTCTTCATAAGATTTCAAGGAGTAAAAAATTCAGTCAGTCCACGATCTTAGATTTTCTAATGGTAACAAAAGAAGGCTTAAATCCTTCTTCATAAAAAATTGTATTTCAAGGCATGTGAAATTTAGTTGACTCAAGATTGGACTTATTTCAAAATTGTCGAATAAAAAATACTATTCCATTTTGAGTGAAGAAACCTTAAACATGTTTACATTGACAAAAATTTACAATTTTAGCTATTTTATAGTTTAAAGGTATATTTGGAGCGTATTTGTTGGACGTTGCCAACTATGAAGGTTACTAGTAAAGCATAACTAATAGTTATTTGTGGCATGAGTGATTGAATGATTTCAAATTGATCCTTGACGTTATACTTTCTGAGCGAAAAACTTGTAGAAATAAAGATCTCATTCAATCATCTCTTGTAACTTCATCTGCTTTGACTGATTACGAATTGGTTGATATTTACTTCCACCATAAATAGTTAAAAATGTTAATATATCTACTAAGATAACTTATCTGTTTATCTATATTTAACTATATACTTCGCTCTTAAATTATAAAGCACTTATTAGATTACCTCATATGTCGCAGGAGAAAGAAACAATAATACATTTTCTCTGTGAATGCCCAGCTCTAGCATCCAGAAGATATAGGTTCTTAGGAAAATACTTTTGTGATAGTTTATTAGACTGCTCAATGGTGAAGATGAAAGACCTATTAAATTACCTAAATTCAGTGGCATGGATTTAGTCTCTACTTTTCTATACTAGGGTTCTTGCGAGCAATGTGATAACAAAACGGCGAAAAATCGCTAATTGAGGTACATTTGAAGATATCTTATGACCTGCCACTACAACCAACCAACCAACCAACCTCATATGTCTTCTTCTTCTCTAACTATCCAATATACATTCGGATATTAATGGTCGCATTTAGGTTCGACAGGATAGGTTGAACCGGCTATCTAAAGCGATTCATTTAGTATCTTGACCTATTGTGTTAATGAGAGGTCTTGCAAAATGGATGTTCGCATTTATTTAATAGCAATTAATTTGTTATGTACTTAATTTTCTTATATAGTAAATCATTATTCTTTGTAATTTTTTATAGTAAATTGATTCTTAACGTCCGTTTTGACGAAAGAAACAACATTCTTTATATAAAATTTATATTAATGAACAAAAAATTAATTTTTATGGTTTTTAAGTAGCTAATTTATAAAATCCTTCAATTATTTTAAACATACTAAATGTGTTAACAGCTTTACTATTCATGTTACCTATGTTTCAAAAATTTAAGTTTATGGATATTCGCTCTTATTTTTAGTTCTACTTTTTATACTGTTAATGACTTCCAGGCTTGTTTTGGATTCACATCTCGCGCGTTAATAAAGGACCAACAAAAGTTTTGCTAGTAGAACACATAAAACATTAAAACAACACAAAGTATACAAAAGTTTTGACGCCGCCAAATAAAGCAAAATGAAAATTGCCTTTTGCAAAATAAAGTTTTAAGCGCAGATTTGCACAAATGAAAGACTGAAACCATAGCACCGAAAGTTGGCTAAAATTTTCCTTCTTTTGCCTTTATTTTTGGTTGTTGCTAATAAACATAGCAACATAGAAGCATTCTCTTCCATAGCAACATTTTAGCTTGACTATGAATAAATACTTCAACGCAAAGTTGGATCAATAAAGGCAAAAGACTTCGCAGTTTGCGGCACCATAAACTGCCAGGACTTGTGAAGTCAAGAAGTGAACAGCAAAATATTTTTATTCAAGAAAATACTTGATTTGCGCAATAAGGGAAGAAAAGCAATTATCTTAAATAGAAATGGTAAGTACTTGCCACAAAAGCATATAAAAACAAATAAATATTTTATTTACATTTATGCATTTTCATTTTCCAATTTTTCAATTAATGTAAAAAGCCACCAAAAAAGAAATTATCCAAAAAGGAAAAGGCACGCCTGGAGGCTGAACAAGCGGAATTATTGCGTATTGAAATGGAAAAGGAAAAGTAAGCACAGCTGGATTTTCAATTTTGCCAACTTTTAAAAATAAAACTTCCATTTTCCGTTTCGGATGAATGTGTTTGTAAACTTGTAGACTGAAGAAACTTGAAGAGGAAAGACAACGTAAACAAGTTGAATTGGAGCAGGCAAAACGTAGGCAACAACAGGAAATCCAAGAAAACAAGGAACGACGTAAACAGCTTAAGGATAGCATGAATTTCTTTAATGCCGTCCAGCAAAAAATCAATGGCATAAAAACAGAGGCCAATGCACAAAGTGATTGGGAAAAATATATGCGTTGCAATGGGTTGCCGAATGCAAACAGTCCGAGTGATCTACGGAAATATATACATCAGTGGCGTGCAGACATTGCGGAACGTAATCAACGTTCCCGAAATTGGCTATTACGTACAGATGAACGCACACTGCTAACACAGGATGCCAATATACCAGATCTGACAAGAGCTACTTTGCGAAGGAAACAGATTAATTTAGGTGATGTTTATGCGAAAAGAGTGCGAGAGGTTTTGGGGGTCAGTTTAGCTTTATATTTTTATATATGTATAAAATAATAAATATTTTTAGATATTGGAAGAGTTAGATGAAGCCTTGTTAGATAATTCAAAACCTGCTCATATACTAGCTGATTTATTGCAGCTAAAAACTGAAACACGTGCATTTGTAAAGGATCATTTGGATGAATTTACTTATAAGATAATGTCGCATATTGAACGTGATATGGAGTTTGTATAATAAAATATATTTGAAAAGTAATATTTCATTTCAATTTTCTCTTCTGCTTAGAATTGATCGTCCTGGTGTTTCAAAACATGATTACTCCTCTGATGTATTCAAATGCTTCTTTTGGACTTTCTCGAAGGATGCACAAATGTTTGTTAGAATTCAAAAAATGCAGAAAATGATTGCATCTAAGCATTTTTTCTTGCAGTTCTCTTAACCCTAAACCACGAGTTGGTGAACAACCTCAACATATTGAAATCAATTTTCCGATGATCGAAATGGAGATAACTCTACCGCCTGTGGTACAATTACAGTTGTCTGCACTTCGTGGAATTTGGTTAAATTTTGATCATTTGAGTGATTATTGCACAAGTTTTAATTTAAAAAAACGCAGACCAGAAACTTTTAGTAAGATCTATTTGCTTCATCATAATCCAAATAAATATAACAAATTTATTCAATATAGATATACTCTTACAAACGAAACGTGAATGGCATAAGCGCAAGGAAATACTTCAGGATATGTTAGACGAATGTACAAAGGAAACCACACTCACTTTAGATGCTATGGAAGGCATAGATTCGAAATCTTCACCACGCAAACAACGCAGCTTTGATATTGACAAAGTTTATGCTGAATATGAAGATAACCTAAATAAATGCAGAAAGCAAAGTATTGGACCTGCCGCATACAATTTATTAGAAACTGATGTCAATTTAAGAAAATATCGTATAATTGGTGGCGTTTATTGCATTGATTACTTAGATATACCCGGGCAAGATAAAAGACTAAACGCACGCTCCTTTATTCGTACAAGTACTGTTATCATTAAGTCTTATATGACAAATTGTTTCTAAACCTTTCTCATTTTAGTTATTTCACCTGATACTTTAACTCACAAAGACTTTTTTCAAACGTATAAGCCACCACCACCAGTGCAACCTGGTGTACGTCGCTTACCGGAAGAAATTGAAGCAGAGATGCGCATGATTGAAGCTGCTTTGGATAAACTGGCATTGGTCACATTACAGTAAGTCATTTTCCCAAATGATCCCATACATTTAACACTTTGACTTAACAGATTACCCGATTCTGTCATCTGGTTTGAACCACCCATTGCATGCCGTTGGGAAACTTATATTGATACACTCGAATCAGATCTTACCGAAGGCATAAAGCCACCCACAACCGCAACTCCAACAGACCATGCAACACCAATGTCAACATTTACCAATCCTAGTCCCATTAAATGTTCACCTCGCTTTCCATCAAAGCAACGTAAACGTAGCACACAAAAATCGCCCACAAGAGCAACGGTGCATGAAGTGACTGATTTTGATATGTTGAATATACCAAGTGACATCGATATTCATAGCCTTTTCAAGGATTTCGTAGTGCCACGCTTGCCATACGGTTTCAATGTACACTTAAATACAGGCATCGATTGTGTTACGCTTAAAAAGGATAATAGCAGACAACCCAAAGTTTTGTTTTTTGCTCGTCATCATTCTGTTGCTTCTTGTGGTAAGGACATAATAAAATCCACCGAACACAAGTCGACATATGACAGCATACATGGCATACGCATTAATGAAGAGTTTTTGGATTTCAATGAGCCGAGGGAATTGTTTCCGCGTTTCCAATTTGATAAAATGTTGAAGTTTAAGGATTTACCAATAAATCAAAAAGATATTTTAAGCTTAGAAAGACAAATGAGTGAAGAACAAAAAATACAGGAAACAGTAGTTGCTGGGAATGGAAATGGTCATATTAAAGTCAATAAAACTAATGGCCATCAAAATGGCAAAGTTAATGGCAATGGCAATGATCAGAAGAATGGTAATGGCAATGGTAGGTGTGTGGAAAATGGAAGAAAGACTGAAAGTGTGGTAAGCAGTTATAGTAAGAGTACCAGTAAGGCTAGTAGTGAATCTGAATATAGAAGATCATCGAAAGGAAGTGATAGTGAAAAGAAAGACAATCCAAAGGAAGTTAAGAAAACTTACATGTTTTCAGAGTTAATTGAGGTAAGTTATGCCATGCACGAATACCGAAAGTAACATCACACTACAATAAAAGTATGTCAGTTTTCTGATATTGTTATCATTGTCATTGCAATGATAATTAATATCAATGGGAATAGTATTAGCAACAACAATAGCAATAACCAGAGAAAGAAAAAGATAAAGAGAAGTGAAGAGAGATAAGGAAAGGGAGAGGGAAAGGGAGAGAGAAAGAAAGAGAGAGAGAAGAAAGAGAGACAGAGTAGAGAGAAAAAAAGAGAGAAAAGAAAGAGAGAGAGAGAAGAAAGAGAGAGAGAAGAAAGAGAGAGAGAAGAAAGAGAGAGAAGAAAGAGAGAGAAGAAAGAGAGAGAAGAAAGAGAGAGAAGAAAGAGAGAGAAGAAAGAGAGAGAAGAAAGAGAGAGAAGAAAGAGAGAGAAGAGAGAGAGAGAAGAAAGAAAAAAGCATTAGCGATAGCAATTGCAATGGCAATAGTATGTTTCATATTGTACCTCCATATTAATAAGTTAAACCTAATTAGGGGTTATAATATATGTGAATTCTTCCGATAATGAACAATTCCGATTTAAACAATTTGACTGGATTCGCAAAAATATCTTATCAGAAATATGTACAAATTAGCTATAAAACTGAATGACTATAATGCCTATTAATGGGTAATGAGAAGGCTAGGCCCTCAAAATGGTACTACAAAATCGTTTTCTCTTATTAAGAGTATATGTATACGACACATCCTTCACCGAATGGATTGCGGTAACTTAATTCATCATATTTTCGAATGTTTATTTTCATGCCCCCACATATGCCATAAAGATTGCTTTTGTGGTATATTTGGCTATTTATTTACAATATGTAATGAATAATATAAGCTGCTTTCACATATATAATAGATAGCAATTGCTATTAGTTGCAATACAAAAATAACTATATATAAATTGCGGTCCCAAATCTATGGAAATATTATTTATATCTATTCGTAATTAATTTAGAATAAGTGCTGGTAATAATTTTATTTCTTTATAGTACTTGTTATGCTACAAATTTTAAATTATATGATATTTTAAGTAAAATAAATTATATTCCAAAAAATATTTCCCACATTCTAACTTAAGTGAAAGACATTTTAAATTACCATATCAAAGTTAAAAAATCTTTACCGAACGCCCTCACTTGTAGCTAAAAATTCTGAACATTGCGCAATGCTTTGAACTGTGAAAATTACTTTTGCAATATAAAAATTAATGACATTCTTATCGTAAAAAATTTTACAAAAAATCGCATTAAAATTATCATATTTTCAAACACAATTGAACACTGTCATCTCTAATCAAAAGGACCTAGAACGCTTGTGTGAGTTGCAAAAACCGAAACAGGAGGAGGTACTTAATCAAATTTCAGAAAAGTTAACACCAACAACATCAACGGAAGGTTCACAGAAGGAAGGCGCTACAGCGGTGGCAGCAGCGGCTACAGAGGAAGAAGAGCTTGCAAAATCGTTCGAAGCAAATCTAATGCAACCCGCATTCTCCTATTTCACCGGCATCTCTTTTATACGCGATATGTTTGCAAAGAATGGCAATGAAAGTAAAGAGACCACAAAGGAAGCAGAGGATGATGAAAGTTCAGAATACGATGATGAAGATGATTATGATGAATATGTAGAGAATCCGAATGAAAATGGTAAAATTGTCGACAATTTGAATACGCTCGGTGATGGTAGTGGTAGTGGTGGCGGTGGCGGTGTTGCTGAAAATAGTGGGTCTGCGGGTGATGTACACGGTCTATTCAGTCACCATAGTCAAAGTGAAAGTGACAACAATGATGGGTAAGTGACAATTGTCAGTGAAATGTATAGATACATAAATACAAAAAACTTGCGGAGCATAGCATATATGTAAATGTATTCAAATGTTAGTTTTATTTAACGATAGTGGGGTTACCCAACACTGGAACTGTGTGTGAAAATGTGTGGATATATAAGTGCAATTGTGCAAAGAAAATACCAACACTTGTGGCAATTGGAGAGGAGCAAAGCGTTGTAAAAATAGAAAGTAATTGTGAGTTGCTTTGTAATTTACGACTTGCAAACTGTTTTCAATTGCCAACAATTGAATTTTTTCTTTCCACTTTTCCTTTTATATATTATTTTTCGTTTTATTACTTTCTTTCTTTTATTTCTTATGATATTTTTATTTCTATTATTAGTGCATTTGATTTGATTTTGATTTTTTTGTGATTTTATATCAATGGAAGGAGAACGAACAAATTTCATTTCATTTTATTGAATTTCTCTAACATCCTTTTTTGATGTATTTTCATTTTTATTTATTTATTTTTTTTTTTTTGAAGAAAATAAGTGCATATATATAATTGAATTATATATCACAGTTATTTTAAATAGAAAATATCTGCAATATTTTATGCTCTATCCTCGTTGATAGCATTTCATATAAATAACGCATTTTATTGAGTCTTCATATGCGATTGCTCTTGCCAGTGTAGTTTGCATGCATCATATTTACAAATAATTTATATTTATCAATATATTGTTATATTATATATGTATATATGGCTTTTATTTATTGCTTCTGTTTAACATTGGTTTGCTTTTACTGGTTCCACTTACAGCAAAAAATCGAAAATATCAAATATCATCGCATTGACAAAAGGCAAATGGAGTACGCGTGACGTACATGATACCAAATTCAATGAAGATAAGCTCTCGATACAGTTTCGTACTGGACGTTTAGGTAGGTCATTTCAGTGTAAAGTACTATATATACTTTTTCACAGGCATGGCAAACTAATAGGGCATGGCAAACTAATAGGGCATGGGCATCTCTTCGAAATGACTTAGGTGTTAGTAAATTATAATAAATTAAATACTTAATTAAAATTTAATTAAATATTTAATAAGGAAAAATTAAAGAAATGGATTTGTTTATGAGAATGTTAATAATATAAATGGGAACCAATTTAAAATTTAGAAAAAACCAAAATTTTGACAGAAATACTTTTAATAGACATAGTAAAAAACCAAAAAATATTCAATATCATTAAAATTTATGTTCCAATTTATGATCAATAAATAATTTTAGAATTAATATTTTTTCTCGATTAATTAACTTATTGTCGACAATAGTCTGCTCTATGTAACTTTATGAAATACAACTGCTATCTTCGCATTTTCCAAATGCCCTTTTGACTTTATGACAAAATCTGATTGGGACACGTAGCTTTAGGTTTGACATGCCTGTTAAAGGAATCTCTTTGCCATCGCATCTCTATCATCTCTATCAATTTTCAACAGAATTGCTTTTCATTTGTACCATACGTAGTGTTGTTGTTGATATTGTTTGTTGATTTTGTTTGCAATTTTATTTATTTATTCGTTGCGAATAATTGTCAACTTGAGTTACAGCATTTGTCAATCTATACTTACTTAATTGTTTATTTGCTGTCACAACTTGTGAATTTGGACGACGTCATGATATCCGCAACTGCTGTCCTCAACGGTATTGATTTCAATATTAAATTGAATCGAATGGAATTGCAAAATGCAAAATGCAAGGCATTTTCGGTTTTGCATTGAATCGATACAGCAACATGCCATACCAGGCATGGGAAATCAAACCAGATTTTAAAAAGTAAGTTATTTAAATGAAAATATAAATTAAATTAAAATAACAAAAAATATTTATTCGATTAGTAAATAAAATATATCAATTATAATGAATTTTTAATTAAATATATGTTGATCTTTGCCACATATAATAAACAAATTAAAGTTAATTTAATAAAATTTAGAAAATCTATTATTCATATATGCCAATTAAAAAAACATTAGTTAAATATATAAAATAGGTTTAAATAAAATTAAAATCAATTCGCAACATTAAGCAGTAAATATAATTATTTATGTACCATGAAATATACTGCATAAATTATGTTTATTTTTTTATTTAAATAAAATTGAATTCCATATTATCGAGGTTCATAAAATTAACAAATAAAAATACAATAATTTTTTTAAAATTTACACCTTTTTATTATGCCGAGCATAATGTGGAAATTGGTTACCGCAAAACAATTCCCAACTTTCAGTGCTGGTATTTCAATTAAACAATACAATTCCGCAACAAAATGGCGCATATTTTTACGGCCGCCATAAAATTAACACACACATACACACATACATACGTATATACATACACAATTGTTATATATACAAGCAATAACAATACAAATTCACATATATATGCATATGACGATTTGCACATATATACACATATTTGCACATATTTGTACATATTTACACATATTTGTACATATTTGCACATATTTACACATTTACATATTTGCAGTTAAAAACCCACATTGCATAAACCATAATCTCATATTATAAATTCAACGCTTTTGTTACCTCGCAGCCCCGGTTCGGTGCTCTTCAGCTTTACCGCATCTATTGTTAGCCTTGATATGTCCATTACATCCGCAGGATATTGCATGAACAATTTTCAGGGTGGCACAACTGACGCTATAAATGATATGATTGGCAAGACACTTTCGTTAGCCGATTTAAAAGCAACACTAATCTCATCAGCTGTGGACATATTTCCAGATGAGGATGCATTCTGTTATACAGAAGGTTCCTGCGAAAAAAACTACGTCATGGAAATGCATTTATATGTCTGCATGTCCACATTGGCATTATCGCATAATTTCAGTTGGTCCAGATGGAATTTGTTAGCCGGAAGTCGTACGGCCGTTTTATTATTACGTGAATTAATCGAGAATAGAAAAGTGGTAAGACAGGAAGTAGTTAATATAGAGCAAAATTACTTCTCACGTTCTAATTGCTTTTTGGGTAATAAAATACTTTTCTTTTCACTTATTAGAATTAATTCTTAAAATTGATTTTATTCAAACTAGAAACTAAAATTTTTTGTATTAGTTTTAATATGTGCAGTTGTTGCAGTTTACGTGAGCTGACTGATAATTTACTACAAAATAAAACTATAACATGGCGATAATTTCTTTCAAAATTTCTTTCCATAATTTATATCTCAAAAAGTTGGCTTTACAAAAGCATTTGCTTATGAAAATATTGTCAGAGAGATTTATTTGTGTGCGGACACAAAGTATCAGTGACAGTTACACAGTATAGTGTTAGCTTTACAGTGTATCTGTGTAATCACTTATAACTTTAAATGAGACATGGGGTGTAACTATTTTGCTACAGAAAGCAAAAAACCAGTCGATATTATGATCTTCGCCAGATGAACTTATGTCAAAAAAGCTGACGATAGTTCAATTAGCGAAAAAGGTTATGGCTGCTGTTATATATGATATATATGATGTTACTATGATTGAAATCTATAAAATGACCAAAGCAATATCAGGACGATATTATGTGACGATTTGAGATTGGTTAAATTATAAATGAAGAAACCATGATTTTATTTTATAATGATTACTATAATGATATTCTATTTAATCATTAGTATATAGATTAGTCTAATAGAAATAGTTTGAAATCTTGTGGTTAAGGTAAATATGGTACCAGCTTCTCTAAGAAATAATTAAATTTTATTTAATTTACTACGAGCATGAAGAACCTACTCATCATGTAAACTAATAAGAACTTACGCTTGTAAAATAATGTTTTTTTATTTTTTTAGAGATAAAAAATTAGTTTGGAGATTTTGGAGAGACGTGTCTGCTACCACATCCACTTTATTCACCAGATTTCAATTAAATTCTATTATCTGGACTAATCTAGATTTATCTTGTGGTGTAAAATAAAACTTTATTATTTTTCTTTCTTTTTAAGAAAAGCTACTACCACATTCATTTCATTCACCAGATCTCAATTTATTTCCAATTTTAATAATACCTATAGTTTATTGGATATTTCAATTGATATCTAACATAGTCGTTCGTTCTAATAAATAGTTGGAGCATTTTAAAGAGATTTACTTTTCAGTGAATGAAAAAAATTAGATATCGTGACAACTATAAAACTGAAAATGAATAGTGTGAATAAAAAATATTCTTCTATCCATAATTCTATTCATACACTGCACTTATCATCAACTTATCAAGCAGTCCTCGTATAATATAAAATTTTCTTGGCAAAAAACAATTTTATTTATACTTTTTTATTTTTTTTTTACTTTAATTTGGATTTATATTTTAATTTTTCTTAAAAAAAAAATGTTAAAAACAGCTATAAATGAACTACATATGTTTTTACACCGTTTATTATTATTATTAAAAAGTTTTAGCTAAACATCTCCTTTAAATAGTAATTTTGTCGATAAATTTCTTATGCAGGAATATAATTTATACTGCTTTTGTTTTTTTATTATTTAAAGCCACCCACCTACAACCATTTATCAAGATTTAATACTCTACATTTATCTCTTTCCCTTAGCCTAATCATTCGACGCTTTTGGTAACACCGCTTAAGACGGCCATAATCGATTGCACTGAAGTCTCTGCAAGTTTTAATGCAACTGGCATTCCGGGCATGGAGTATTATGCAGATTTATATCAACTTTCGCAAGTGCACGCTCTACCCAGCAGCCTCGAAAAGCAGCGTACAATGGATCCCGTATTGCGTGATAATGTTGCACGCATATTAATGGCCATAAGACCTCTGAGCTTCTGTTAGAAAAAGGAAAACCGCAAATTATACATATATATATATGTGTATATATATATGTTATATGTAGTAGTAAAACATTAAAGTATTAAGCAAACATTTCACGTGACTTCTTTTGTACTCTCAACTTGATTTTTCTCTATTTGAATTTCTGTTTGCACTTAAGTGCTCACTCCTCCTTAGTCCTTAGCTAACAGCGTTCAGCGTTCAGTGTTCAGTTTTCAGTATTCAGTATTCAGTATTCAGTTTTTTTCAATAGTCGTAAATAAGTTAACGTGAAAGTATTAAAGTTTGCAGTTTAACGTTGTTATTTTATTGCTTGAGCGCACATTTTCTGACAAATAACAAGGAGCAATTATCTGCTTTGGGAGCTGTTTCGTAGTATGGAGGCATGTATAATTAATTTATGTAGCACACAGCTCAACTTAGCGCGTACATATACTTAACCTCCGCGTACTTCACATTATGACTTAAGTTTCAAAAACTGCAAGTAAATAAATTTACTTTACTTGAAGACATACATTTGCCAAAAAAAAAAATGAAAAATAACAAAATTCAAGGCTTTCACTTGTACCGTTTCTGTTGCTTCTACAGCTACAGCTACTGCTACCGCTGTTGGCATTATTTGGAAGAACGTTCATGTTGATGAACTTGGTTGGATGAACAACATCTGCTGTGAAACGTGCCTGCCTATGCTTCAACTAAAAAATTTGGTTAATTACATGCTGAGTAGTACTTTTTCTTCAACAAAAGATACAAAGACAAACAGTGAAAAAAGATAAATTGTAATTTTTAATTATGTTTGAAGGACGTGATGGCATTTGCTTCAATTTGACAAGACTATAATATTTTATTTTATTTTTAATTGAAAAATTATTTTATATTTTTTATGTTGACTCCAACGTTTTGCACAAATAAATAAAAGTAAATATATTTTATTATATACATTAAGACTGAAAAGCTTTCGGAAATTCTCATTTAAAATTCGCGCGCTGTATATTTTCCGATATTTTAAGTTTATGTAGTTTGGCAGCACTGTCCTTAATTACTATGCCAAAAATGAGCGCGATCTGTCAGACAGTTCGTTTACGGCAGCTGTTGAAACCAGTTCACCTCAGTAGGGCGTTGCGAAAAAAACAATGGAAAAAAATATTGAACAAAGAGTTTGCATCAAATTTTGTGTTTCGAACGAAATTTCGTGTGCAGAATCGTTGCGAATGCTACAAAAGGCTTATGGGGAATCAGTTTTATCGAAAACTCAAGTTTATGAGTGGTACAAAGCCTTCCAGGACGGTCGTACGACCGTCGAAGACATTTCGCAACGCACTACTGAGGTGAACTGGTTTCAACAGCTGCCGTAAACGAACTGTCTGACAGATCGAGCTCATTTTTGGCATAGTAATTAAGGACAGTGCTGCCAAACTACATAAACTTAAAATATCGAAAAATATACAGCGCGCGAATTTTAAATGAGAATTTCCGAAAACTTTTCAGTCTTAATGTATTTTATTACAGCGAGGGTTGCATGAAAATCAACTGCAGCAGTCATAAAAAACTTTTTTTTTTATTAAATTTTCAGTTTAATGCGATTTTTAGTACTGCAGAATCCTTACAATAAACAGCAGAGCAAATATATTTCCGTACACTTTGGTTTGTGTAAAATTTTAATACATATACTACTACACATACTCTAAACTTAATACTATACACTCAACTCTTAAACATTTAATTTTTATTGTAAATAATAAAAAAGTTTAACAAAAATTGCATTTTAAATGAAACTTTCTTCAAATTTGATTCACTGTTGTTTATGTAAATGCCATATTCTGGCAGTGTCTCAGAACTTTCTTCACTTTGAATAGTTTCTGGTTCCTTCTCCGGTCTTGCGTTCGTGGAGGGTGTAAATGACAACTGCAATTGCATTCAAATGCAAATGGAGTTAGCAACACTACCAATATAAGTTAGTTTTCTGCTGCAGCTGCTGTTTTAGTTGCAGCATTTGACACGTGCTAAACTTGAAGTTTCGCTCGTTCCACACCAAACAGTAAAATGCTTGGATTGCATTTATATGTAATTCCCCTTTTACATTTCAGTATAAAAACAGTTCGTGGAAAATTGAATATTTTATGATTCTTATTTGTCTAGGATAAGTATTGTTTGATGAATTTGTTTTTCATTATGAAGTACAAATTTCAAATTGAGAGGGAAATCAATTTTTATTATGTAAGAATAGAAAATGATTTAAATTTAAATCAAACAGTGCGTTATAAATTTCTTGAAAAGGTTTCGAATAGTAGTGAATAGCAACAACAAAATTTTGTTCAAAAGTTTACTATTAAATACAATAGTTTCAATAAAGTGAAATATTGGCTGCAAAAATAACGTATATTGACAACAAATTTAATTTGAACTTTAATTAAAATTACCACAATGCAATAAAATCAATGAATTAAATGAACTACTAAAAATTTCATTAATAGAAAAACATAAAAACTAATTTTAAAGAAGTTCCTATACTATTAACATACTAACTATTTGAAATAGTTACTTTGAAATATCTATTAATTAAAAGCAAATTAATTACTACAAGCTTAAAAAAATATTAATATCTCTGAAATAACAGCACGATATCTTTTACAATTAATTTGATGGTTCGAGTTCTGCAATGCTATACTGTTACAACGAATTGTTGAACCATTGAGTGCTAGTCGCCTTAGTCTAGCTAATTCATCTGTGTGCTCTTTCCCTACTATATTGAAATGCGCTACATTGTTGTAGTGTTGTTTCACTACACTACTATTCACTACTATTCTATTAAATATTTTTTATATTTTATATTTTTAAAATAATTAAATATAAGAAATAATTCCAAGACCACTGATGATGGGTAGTTGACAATACGCAAAACAGCTGTATCATAGGACAAAAATTTAATCAATAAAAAATAATAAAAATTTGTTGTTGCTATTTACTACTATTCGAAATGTTTCTATTAAATATTTTTTATATTTTATTATATTAAAAATTGTTTTTAGTTATTTAAAACTTTAATATATTTTGATATCAACTCAATACCTGAATGTCTGTTAAATAAACTTATTTCGTATAAAATTACACGCTTGTGTGAATTTCAAAGAGCAAATCCTTCAGCTACAAAATAAACCAAAAAGTGTTCTGCTGTCACTTGAAATTTTAAAGACAAGTTTTAAGTGCATTTGTCGTTGCCTACAGCTAAGTTGACAAATTGAATTCGAGCACAAAAATTCATTACAATTTGACAAATTAACAGGCAAAGTGCATTGCAATGGCAACAGCAACATCAACAACAACAACAACAACAACAACATCAGCAATAGCAATACCAATACCAACAGCAACAGCAGAAGTCCTAGTAGTAGTAGCAACATCAACAGCAGAAGTCGTCGTAGTAGCAGTAGCAACAGCTATATCTGCTCCACAACAATAAGAAGAAGAAAGCCAACAGCAGCAACGACAACAACGTCAACAACGGCTGAAATATTTCGGTTTAAAAATAAACCTGCCTGCCAAACGAATGAATAATGTTGAAACTGTGCCAGGACATTAGATAAAAGAGCTAAAACTGAAACTTGAAAAGTAGCTCAAAGACAAGAGGTAAGAGAACTCATCATTACTCATGAATGAAAGTGAAAATTGAAAAGAAACAAAAAGCATGAAGCTAAAAATAGTTATAAAAAAGGAAATAGAAAATGAAAATGAATTCAGAATAAAATGAAATAAAATAAAAGCAGTAGATGTTCTAAAAAAAAAACAAAATCTGACACTGACTAAACTAAAGAAGACGAATTAACAGCAACATATGCTGCTAACGTTCAGCAACAATTGCCTATTTTACGGCAACACAAAAACTACACAAAAGGACTCAAGCTAGTTAAGGATCTACTGGTTGTGTGTAACAGTTCGAGCTATAAAATTAAGCCGAGAATAGGATAAAAAATTTCACAAAAAATCACAAGCGGCAAAAAAAATTAATAAAAATAAAAAAGTTAGTCTGCTTTGGAGATAACGTAAAACACCTGCCAACAACATTCTAAGCAGATAAAAATGATAAACGATAAAAAATTAATGTTCGTTGGCCTTGTGTTCTATAAATCCGTGCTATGAGTAAATGTAGTTGAAATTACTGTCAGTAAGCTAAGCCAAACTGCTTTCGTAGCAAAATTACCCTTAAGCAAGGAGTTTGTTGATTTAATGTCAGTACTATAAAAGTGATTGCAGAGTGCGGAATTTATGCTTAAAGGATACTCCCCGAATGAGACAGTACTGCTGGAGAAATTCATGAACAGCTACTGTGTTATTAAATTGAATTTATAGCCACAACAAAGTTTCATAAAAGTAATTATAATTAAAAATTATAAACAAAATTAATTTGTGGCGTTCTTGAAATTTAAAATGCTTAATCGTATTATATCCGAAAGCAAAACGTTCTTACATTTTAGATATTTTATTATCCTTCTCACTGCTATACAAATTTTTAACTTAATTCATCAATGTTTTTATGCTATTTTTATTTCCTGAAAGGATTTGTGGTCAGCTTTGCTGAAATTGTAGCCATTTTAACAGCGTGTGACGCTGATTTTGGCAACAGTTGCATTTCGCTGTGCCTTTTGTCATCAAATGAAATGTAAATAAATTGAATTTATTTTAACCACAACTTGGTTTTTTGGATTTAATGTGCAATTTTATTTGGAAAATTTTATTTGGAAAATTTTATTTGGAAAATTTTATTTAAAATTTTAAATATTCAAACAAATGCTCAGAAGGTTTTAGTTGAAAAAGCACTCGGTCAATTTTCAATTTCGCTTTTTGCTCCGCGCAATTAACATTAAAACGAATTTCAAAATCTAGTAATTAATAGATAAATAATTTTATTCTAATGCAAACAGAAAATACTGTCAAATATTAACAAAATATTGACATTTCATAAATGCTTTTCATTCCCGTGGCTGAGAATATTTCAGATTTTTGTG